AGTCACATTCGTCTTGTAGCTCAGGTGTGGAAGGCCAGGCTCGTATGTCTCAGGGAGTAGAGCGTTTGTCTAGTAGGCCCAACTTCGACAGCAGTTTGGGATAAATGGCTGCGTCACATTCTACAGAAAACCCAAGCCTTCTCTTTGATTTATCGTGAGCAGAAGTGTTAACAGTCAAATAAAATAAAGCAATCAGATGTGGTACACCTTGCCAACCGTCAGGCTCTTGATTGCTGAGAAATATAACAGTAACCGACGCCAAAAGCCGAATGTCTAGGCCTTTCTAATCCCACAAAAAAACTTAAAGATCATTAATGCTATTATATTAAGCCATATTTATGCATTTTTAAAAATATTTACTCACCCAACGTATTTGCTATCTGCTCGGTCTGTAGACCGGAAATTTTTAATGATGCGAAGCCTGAGCTTGACTACCGGTTCTTATGCATGGAAGATTGTGGTTTTCGCGTCCTCTAGCCAGGTAAATTGTGTGCTGTACTGACCGAAAGACCTACTTCAAGAATATGATTTTTCGACCATTTTAAGTACATGAATCAGGATAAGATACGTGGTATTTCTGCGACAACTAGGAATTGGGACATGGTTAGGAGGTCGTGTCACGAGATGCAGAGTTGCAGTCGTCAAGGCCATGTGTGGTATTATCAATTATCTAATATGTCTTATGTCTTTTATTATATTGTTCAATATCTATTTTTTCTCCAGGAGACCAGACAATCTTTACACCTTGGTAAACCCGACAACAGCTATTCACAGGCTTCAGCAGTCCATTTAAGCCGCTACTCTCCGTCGCAGCCGCTTCTGCCAAGGCGACAACCGTTTGGTACCGACTTTGGCTCTCCGGACGCCAGAATCGCGATTGAGGCTTCTCAGCCTGGCTTTGCTGACGTGATCGTTGGCGGTGGTGGCATTGCTGGAGGTAAGCAGAGTGAGCTGGGTGGACCGAGCCCCCAGCCAAGCTTGGCAGGGTACCAGGCACAGAGGGCAGTCGAGGTGAGAGCAACAGCCGGTCAGCCATTATCGCCCACCAATCAGTCGCCCGGGCCTTTAAGGAGTCGGATGGCCTGCCAGAAGTGGCCCTCGGTGACGAGAAGGAATGCATTTTCTGAGCTCGCCGAATCGCGAGAGGTTGGCAGATCAGAATCTCCTTTTCACAGACAGGGACCAGCTGAAATGACAGGTGAAATCGGAAATGGATTTCAATGCTTCACTTTCTTATTTGAGCAATTCGAGCAAATTTCTATTGCCAAATAGGCATCTAACAGGCCTCCTAGTTTCATGCAGATACAGAAAACCTTCTTTTCCCATTTAGAAGTAGGTTTTTAACACTACGAGAGGATCATAAATATGAGGTGTATCCACCCTATTTCGTATAAGATGATAAGGAGACTAGAAGTTGAATCTTACCATAATCAGTAGACCTCACGTTCCCATTTACTTTCACAGCCTTGCTTCCCAAAAGGTAATCTCATCCAGGCTGAAGAGGACTGCAGTTTCAACCTCGCCTGACCCGGTCTCAGCACCATCCCTAGCGGGGCTCGAACCATGACAGGGCAGCATGCGATTTCGGCACGTTAACCACTACGCCACATTGCTATGAGTGTCCTTGGGTTACGGGGCAGAAGTAAATGTAAAGGAAGCCTTAGCCTTTCCCATATCACCTTTATGTGGCGAGGTTGCCGATGAAGCAAAGTTGTGTTTACTATTACAATCAACTGCTTTACTTATTTTCGTTTATCAGTAAGTTGCGAGACTACCCTGCAGATTTTTTGCCTGGCCAACCGTGGCTGGCATCGCCAGAGTGTGACATCATTCTTTAACCCAAATTCACCAAATATGGAGCCAAGACGGGTAGCGAGCTGCGGTCCCACTTAGTTTGTAAAAGGTAACTACACTATCTCGCTAAGCCATCCCATGTACCGGGAATAAATAAGGTCGGTTTGATTCTACAATGGTGACGCATGTTTTGATGTGTGATTGCAGTGCTCATGAGTTTATTGAGATATTAAGAGACCTGACTGGATCTTACCTGATGACGATGTCTATTTCCTATTGGTATGATGTTCGGTATTCCTGGGAAATTGTGATTTTTGCAGTACTTCAGACGCCCTTCTTCGGCTCCGAAAAAAAAGTGATCAATTTTCATTTCCCATGCCAGTTGACACCTCATCAGAGCAGAGGCACAGTCCTAAAACATTCATATACCTATTCATGAAAATTAACCTAAAAATCTTCCCCTGTCTTATTTACGAATAAAATAACTTGAGTAGCAATAATCCAATAAATACTTGGTTAGCTCCTGAAGATATCTATCTTGCTTGATGTTCATGAATGCGT